ACATACACACGCACACACACACATATATATACAACATATATATATATACATATATAGATAGAAAGAAAGATAGATAGTTAGGAGATGACATTGGGTTGTGTGATAAGCTTGGTCAAACCATAATTGAACTACGCTTGTTTGAGACAATCATGCTGCCCTTATTGGTCATATCGTTGCAATTATCCCCAGCGTTACACTCTTTGTCTATTGGTATATTCGTGCTATACAATCATTCCCAGTACCCTTTTAGTATTTTAACCTAAAATATACATTCTACCTCCCCTACCGTACTTCCATATCAGGTAATATTCAGTACGGTGAGATTGGTGGATTATCAGAGCAGATCCGAGAGTTGCGAGAAGTCATCGAGCTACCTCTGCTTAATCCTGAACTTTTCCTACGAGTGGGTATTAGTCCGCCCAAGGGAGTGCTACTGTATGGACCCCCAGGCACAGGTATGCAACTTTATTGTAGTGCAGGTGTGTTTTCTTATATATATATATGTATATGCCTGAAAGTTTAACTGTAGGTTTGTTTGAAGGTATATATTTAACGAGACGCCTAACTCACCGAATAATTATGCGTACAGCTTATATTCAGTGATTTTAAACAAATCAGCAATAGGCCACAACAATCTTCTGGACCCCTTTTAACACCCCCTTGATCCACAGGAAAGACCCTGCTTGCCCGCGCCGTAGCCAGCAATGTCGAGGCCAGCTTTCTCAAGGTTGTATCCTCCGCCATCGTCGACAAGTACATCGGAGAGAGTGCGCGTTTGATCCGTGAGATGTTCGGATACGCGCGTGACCACCAACCGTGCATTATCTTCATGGACGAGATAGACGCCATTGGCGGACGTCGATTCAGTGAGGGAACGTCTGCCGATCGAGAGATTCAGCGAACTCTCATGGAGGTAGGTTCTGAAGGTCTGATATAGCTGATTTGTCAGTCCAGTCACCAACAATGGATTCATTGTCAATATGTTTTCGTATATATGTGTACACACTCACGCACTCATATTATATATTTATATTTCAATATCTATATCCAGATCTATCTATATCTATATGAATATCTATATCGGTATATATACATATATATATATGTACACCACATATATATATATAAGTGTGTGTGTGTGTGTATATATCTATATCTGTTTATATTTATATATCTATATATAATATATATATATATATATATATATATATATATTTCGTTACAACTATACTCATTATATTTTCAATATGTTCCCATTAGCTGTTAAATCAAATGGACGGTTTCGACGTCTTGGGCCAAGTCAAGATGATCATGGCCACCAATCGACCCGATACACTCGATCCCGCTTTGCTGCGACCGGGACGTTTAGATCGTAAGGTGGAGATCAAGCTGCCCAATGAACAGGCCAGATTAGATATCCTCAAAATTCACGCGTCAAAGATCACAAAGCACGGAGATATAGGTGGGTGGTGTAGAGAGTGGTTGCTTTGTTAATATACAGGTTATGCATGTTTATGCGAGAAGTATTCTGCTTTCATGGGTTCAGGGTTCCGAAATATATGGTACCATTTGGACCATCGTTGTTCAATGTATCGCGATGGCATTTTAGGGGATATGTTACAAGCCTTTCATACCTATTATGCATACGTGCGTGGATGCAGACAGATGATTCTAACTCCTATATAGGCCCGTTTAAGCATATCCATAAGTTCTATGTGACCTAGATCCCTCATACTCATTCCATCGGGTTGTTTTCGGTTCGGTTCGTTTCGGGTGTGTACAGACTACGAAGCGGTCGTGAAACTGTCTGATGGGTTCAACGGTGCCGATTTGCGAAACGTCTGTACCGAAGCAGGTAGGTGTTAAGTTATGCAGAGACGAGTGCGCAAGTTCTAGCATGGTGGATGTGCCTTGACAGGTCAACTCCTGCTAGTACAAAGTGTTGTATAGCCGTATGTATGTATACCCGGTCACCTATTCGGGAAGGATTTTGTGTGTTAGTATGCCGTCCACTAGGTATCGGCAAAGTTAGGCCCTCTCGCTTCCTTACGCTTCGACAAAGGGATACGCCCGAATGTAGTAGCGATCTTGTTTGTTTATAAATACGGCATGAACAACTTCCTATATACCGCTGTGTAGCGAGTGATGGTCTATGGGGCTCTACTCCTTTTACTCACTACAACATACTTATCACGCTAGGTGCATTCGAGTGTCAGACCACAAACACCTCAAAACGTCTATAACCACATACACATCAAAAACGTCTATAACCACAAACACATCAAAAATATCTATAACCACAAACACCTCGAAAACGTCTATAACCACAAACACCTCGAAAACGTCTATAACCACATACACATCGAAAACGTCTATAACCACAAACACATCGAAAACGTCTATATAACCACAAACAAATCAAAAACGTCTATAACCATATACACCTCGAAAACGTCTATAACCACATACACATCAAAAACGTCTATAACCACAAACACATCAAAAATATCTATAACCACAAACACCTCGAAAACGTCTATAACCACAAACACCTCGAAAACGTCTATAACCACATACACATCAAAAACGTCTATAACCACAAACACATTAAAAAAATCTATAACCACAAACACATCAAAAACGTCTATAACCACAAACACCTCGAAAACGTTGACTGTGCTGTTTTGCTGGGAGTCAAGTTCAAATCATTTAATTGTACGGATTCTAACACTTCAATTTTGTGGTTCATTGAATCTTTGTACGGATTCTAATACTTCAATTTGGTGGTTCACTCGTAGGTATGTTCGCCATGCGCTTGGATCGGGATTACGTCGTCGAAGAAGACTTCATGAAGGCCGCCAGGAAGGTCAATGAGGCCAAGAAATTGGAGTCTAAACTGGATTACAAGAAGCTCTGAGTAACGGGATTATAGGAACTTAGATTGTAGCGAGCATGAGAGGGATTGATATATAAATTTGTGGTCACAGTCGCACAAGAAATTGGAGTCTAAACTGGATTATCAGAAGCTTAAGAGTAACGGGATTATATGAACTTCGATTATAGTGAGTACGAGGGCGATTGGTACATAAGTACGTAAACCTCACCATAGTAGATACGCTGCGGTTCAGGATACTGTTTGATAGCACTGAGATACCTACTAGACTTTGAGAGAATGCCTTTTAATCAGCGCGAGAGACAATGGCCAATAAAATAAAGAATTCATCTGATGAGAAACGTGAGAAGCTAGGTGTGGGGAGACTACCAAGGTTTCTATCGTATGTCATGGTAGTTTCCATATACAGATGCATAGTATATCTGCGTAAAACTTGGCCTCCTTGTAAGTCAGACAAATAACAGTTTCACTCAACAGCTCAGTTCTGCATATGATTTGGATAGACGAATAGAACTAGGCAAGGGTCTATAGTAGATGCCAGGATAAATAGCGCAAACATCCCAGAAAGTTTCTGTTGATATACTAATTGTGCATGCTACTATGTATTGAAGCAAATAGGTAAGTAAATAACAATCTAGAAGTTCAGATACGAACAATCGACACAGCAGACACACTCAAACTAGCAGAGACACACAAAATAACTGCAAAAATAATCTTACACTGACACCACGCAAACACTCACAAATTCTTAACAGGCGTAGATACTAGTCACCGATAGAGCAGATGCGCTTGATCTAGAACTGTCCCAGATCAAATTTTTGTACTTGCAAAAAAAAGTACAACCGTTCACAAATTTCCTGCCCTTAATTTTGGCGGAGATGGGCTGGAATCATGTAAGCTGGCTGTGACCAAGCATTTAAGCATAGACAGCCCAATCGCTATTCGGATTCAATTTTATTATGGCTGATAGAAGCTTTCCATATCGTATTGTTGTATAGCTAGAGTACCCCTGAAAAGTCTCAACTATGCTCTACAGTAACCTACAGGCCAAAAATACCGCTGAAACTAATAACACTAGAGCAGGCAACCAAGTATGTTTTAAAATAGACATGCTTAGTACCTAATAAACCAATAAAATGTATGTAACAGCCCTATACTATTACACGTCCCTACATATATAGCAGTATTGGATATGTTTATTCAATGCATACTCAATAAATAAGTCTCGCCGAGGTTCAAGAGTCAAGGCTGGCAAGAGTGGCACTGTGGCACAGCTCTGACTTCTGAGGTGGGCTGTGCTCACTGATACTCATCAGTGCCTGTGTGCTGACTGCTGAGAGCTCACAACTGTTCCAGACTTCAAATTTAAGTTCAGAAGTTCAGAGTTCAGAGTTCAGAGTTCAGACTTGTGATGAGTCTTGAAGACACTTTGACTCTTGAGACTTCGAGTGCCCACGCCCCAGTCCCCTCAGTGCCCAGTGCCGACAACTGTGCTTAGCGGCGAACAAATAACAATCGAATATCTGAGTTATATACGTAGTGTAAGCCAATTAGACCATCATATCGTGGACTTTAAAACCAATGAGAATCCCTACAAACAAACGAATGGAAGTGTATCGCATGAGTCATGACTCATGAGCAGTTGGACACCTGACACTTATAGCAAAAGTCTCAGAACATATATATTTTTATTTTACGTTTAACGTTTATAAAGTAATGACCCTACGATTGTTGCTAATTTGCTAGCTAGATGTGTACGGGACTACGCCTACGAATGTGCCCGGAGATACAGCATATGTAGTCACATCCAGTTTTGTTTTCATATATCGAATGGATAAACGTTTACGTTCAGGAGGACGTCTTGACAGATCTTGACACTTGTTTGGGGTAAAAATCTACAAACAACCCAGAAAGAAAACAAAGCGCATGAACACAGATGACATGAATATTTTTATGACCACAATGAATATGCGCTGCTATGTCCTGACATGGGTCATATCCACACACATAGGTATCTGTTGAAGTATTGAGTCAGACGTGCCGTAAACATGAAAACGTCCTCATTCACACTCGCAATCGCGGCGCTGATAGCAGCGTCGCTCCAGGATGCCGACGCGTGTACGGCTATTGTCCTTGACGGAAAAGCGGTTCAGGGGGGATACCCCACTATATCTACCAACGGAGATGCAGCTGACGGTGACTGGCGCCTAGCTAAAGTACCTGCAGCACAGTATGAGACTGGGGCTCTGAGACCCGTGTATGAAATATACCAGTACTACCCACACACAGTCAATAGTGCGAGATCAGCTACTTGGGCTAAAGACAACCTGGAAGATGTACCCCAGGCGGTGAATTGGACCGAGGCTGAGCCGATTGGATATATTCCTCAGGTTAAGGAGACGTATGGGTTGCTTGAGACTGGTCTGGGCTATGCGCTGATCAACGAGAAGCAGGTATGTGTGCATTTATGGGTGCTCAGAGATTTTTGTACACGATTTCAGGGTATAAATCAGCTATAGGATGTGTGTTGATTAGCTGAATGCTGGCCCGTACAACGTGAGTGTCTATGCAGCGGTTTGGATACATTGTTTTACATTTTTGGGGTATTTACAAGTCGCAAATTTGATGTGACGGATTTATCAGGCAGCACACCGTGTGGCGAAGTGAAGTGTACGGTGGAGTCAGGAAGGATATTTCAAGAATACCATGCATTGCCAAGCGATAAATTATCAGTTGTCTTATAAATTAGTATCTACATACCCTTCCGTGAGCTTTGAAAAAAATGTGCGACTGCTATTTTGTTATTCACACTATAGTCTAATTCATACCATGTATAATATGAATGTCAATACATACATACATACATACATACATACACACACACACACACACACATATATATATATATATATATCGTTTACAATATAAGTATATATGGAATGTAACGTGTATGTGTGTGGGTATATATATATATATATATATATACTGTATAATTTAAGTATATATACAACGTAGTAAATAGAATACATATCTGTTATATGTATATGTAGATTCGTTATGTATAGACAATACTCATTAATATAAACAGAAATATGCGAATGGGTTGTATTCGAAGTATTCACTTTGTATGCATTGATTCGAAGTAGAGGCTATTAATATCTGTAAGCTATGAAGTCATTAAAAACACAGTCTGCTAAAATTGTAAGGCAACGCCACGCACTTAAAAAAATGATATATCTATTCACTTTGCATGGCCCCTTCAATCTTTTAGGTGGCGACAGGAGAATCTTCGTGTCACAGTCCCTTCGTCGCCAAGCCCATCAACAAGGGCGGTAAAGCTCTGTTCGATGTAGGAGCTCTCACCATGGTTGCCCTGGAGCGTGCTAAGACAGCACGGGAAGCGATTCAGATTATGGGAGACTTGGCCGAGGAGTACGGGTACTACGGTGCCGAGTACGATGGCCCGGAGGCCTTTGCCAAGGATGAGAGTGGCGAGGCTATTCCCGTGGCGGATACCACTGAAGGTATGTTTGTTCTATCTCCGTTTGCTGAGTCGACATGGCGTGGCTGCTAAACGACACTTCAAACGTGCTGGACCGTGTGACTTTTGCATTCCAACGTCGTCTGAACATTTACAGGATCGTCACCTTGATTTTAATTTTCACAAAAATTTAGTACGATTCTAATTTTCTATTTCCAATTCACGTTGCAGCGTACATGTTCCACATTCTTCCCGATCCAACTGGAGCCTCAGCCATCTGGGCTGCTCAGCGCATTCCTGACGGTCACGTGTCTCTTTCTGCCAATGCATTCGTAATTCGCGGCATCAAAAAAGACCATCCCGATTTTATGTACTCCAAAAACCTGTTTTCCGTCGCTAAGGAGCAGAAGTTCTGGAAGGAGTCCGATGGCGATCTGGACTTCGCCTGGGTGTACGGATCAGCAAAAATGCACTCAGAGTACTCACTCAGACGTGTGTGGCGGGTGTTCTCCAAGCTAGCACCTTCGCTCAAGTTGACCCCTGATTCCCCGCTCCCTTTTTCTGTGCCTGTTGATACGGAGGTGTCTCTATCTGACGTTATGGAGTTGACTCGCGATCACTATGAGGGGACCGAGTTTGATCTGACCAAAGGTGTGTCTGCCGGACCTTACGGAGACCCCGATCGCTACGACCAGCACGCTGTAGAGGGATTGACTCGCGCCGAGGTTAAGAAGGGCCATGCTTACGAGCGTGCCATATCTTTGTACCGAACTAACTACGCCTATGTAGCCAGTGGGCGCGCCGACCTGCCCGATCACATTGGATCTTTGCTGTGGTATGTCCCTCACCAGCCGAGTGACGGCGCGTACGTCCCGGTATATACCGCTTCGACCGAGCTACCTACCGCGCTAACCGTGGGCTCGCACTTCAGGCACCGTTCCGATGCGTTGTGGTGGAAGTACTGCTTGGTGAGCAACTGGGCTCACAAGTATTACACCCACATCATGCGCACTATCGTTCGCCCGGAGATAGACCGCCTGGAGGAGGATGTATTCAAGGCTACAGCCAAGGCCGAGAAAAAGGCGCTCAAGCTCTGGGAGGTTGATGCCCGGGACGAGACCGTGGCGCATCTCACAGAGACTACCACGAAACTGGTCAACGGTGTTGCGTCTGCGTGGGATGAGCTGTTCCAAAGGCTTGTGGTAGCGTACCACGATGGATTCCACCTTGAGGATCCTAACGGTGCACGGGTCAATGTGACATCCATCTTCTATCCCAAGGAGTGGCTGTTCAACACCGGGTTTTTCGCCAAGTCTCCTGAGACCAACGACAAGCATATGATTTCGCTGGGTTGGTTGGCGGTGAGTGTGGCACTTGCGGCGTGCGTGGCTGCGGTGGCGGGATATGCAGTGGCCGCTCACCGGGGCAAGAAACAAGGGTATCATGCCATTTGAAGGGCTCACGGTTTGACTGCACGCCACGGTACGGTACAGTGACTGGGTACACCATACCTCGTTGTTGGATGTTTGGCGCAACAACTCGTGTCATGCACATTTCGTGATTTGGCACCGGTGTGTGTATCCATGGAGGGGGGAGAAGGTTACGAATCACGTAGCCCCGGCGTTTCATGCGAAGTGCGCAAAACTCAATCGGTAGATTTGCTGGCGATAAGCGAAAGCTGCAACGGCGCGCACAATTCCGGCCCGAACCGAATGCAAACGAATGTAAGCTGCTAGTTGAGAACATTTATAAGAACTGTATAAAATGATGAGGAAACTCCTAGTAGTTGGCATATTAGTGAAATAAAAAAAATAAAAAATTTATTGGATGTAATCTCTGCCATGTGCAATTATCAGTATTTTTAAGATTAAATCCGAGTAGAGCAGCTATGCGTATCGACTGTAAATGTATGTACAGCACGCGGTCGCTTTTATTTAAGACCGGAACAACGAGGATTCTAAAAATACCATATATCCAAATTTAATCAGAGCAGCCATACGTTTCGAGAATAAATGTTTAAATAAATACATCACACAGTGCACTGTTTCTTGAGAAACAAGGAGGAAAGATCCTCACCATTGCAAAACCTTGAGCTATCATTAGCTCATGAATGTATGTGTATTGTATATTTCTAGTTTTAATATAATAGCTAGTTTTGGAATCTGTTCCAAAAGAAAAAGTCGTGAAAATACGCACGCCACTCTAAAACCGCAGTGACATGAGTGAGAGCCTCCTCCAATAACATCGTCTAGAACGCGACCACAACATTTCGGCAAGCAGTTTATTATGAAATTAACTTGTGCAAAGTTTCAGTATATACTATACCTCGTGCGAAAGTGTGCGTCGCCTGCAGTATTTCTTAGGGAAACCGATAGAACTGACAGCTTCGCTGACCCGCTTGTATCTACTGATTATTCATATATATTTATTTCATGTTATTATACTCTAATTGTAATCAAGTTGGATAGTCTACCTATTGCTCCATTCGCCACTTGCATTTACTCGCTAGTCGTTAGGATAGTACGTATCTTCTAAATGCTTTCGGTACGACAACAAAGATAGCTCTTATCATGAGTTTAATTTTCGTACTCGGCTTTAGAGTTGCCGCTTCCTTCTACAGCTGACGAGGAGTGGTGTACGGTCATCAGAATGGGAAGTGTCTCATTACTCGGGGATCGCGTATACACAAAGGTCTTATCCACACACACTGCTGCGTTTTCATTTCTGAAACACATTGGTCCAGAGGCAATGGCCTGCTCACAGTTCGAGTCATCTGTACTGAAAGTGAAGGGTGCTGCACCGCCGGCCCCGTATTCGGCTGTGAAGTTAGCTACTAACCCATTCGCACCTTCAGTCCCATTTACTACACCGCCGCTCGTACCTTCCTCTCCGTCCCCCCACACGATTTCGGTCCATCCCGTTCCGCCCGAAATGCCAAAACCGCCATCGCCTTCAATATGCTCGTCACCGGCACACTCTCCTACAAAATACGAGAGCGCACCTCCCGCAGTAGGGCGCATGACTACGCCGGGCTCGGCCGTGGTCACTGTAGGCTTAAAGTGCACTGTTGCATACTCGTATGCATAGGCTGCTGCGATAGCTCCCTCAGCCGCTGGCAATGCGCCGTCACACCCATTGTCACGATATCCTTCACCTACTTGGTATACCGCATTGGTCCAGGCGTCGATTGCGTCCACCATCTCCTGCTGCGTGATACATTGAACATCTGTGTCGCGAATGGAGAGCGCGGTACTACTGGTGGCAACCGCCGTGAGTGCTAATGCCAATTTTGAAGTAAAAGTCATGATCGTCATATTAGTACTGTGGACGAGTGGCACTATGCCGTGTTTGCCGTTTGACATATTAGTATTTATAGATTTTACAATACATTGAACTTTTGCAGGACCCTCTATAGAGAAGTAATATAAAAATATGCCTGATCGAACTATTGACCGAAGGATCTGTCTGTATGTAAATAAAACTGTATTATTATTTGGAGAACTGGTGCACACTGCATAGTGCATAGCCTTCTGAAAATATTCAAAGGCTACTTTTTTTAAAATTGGTGCCTTATAAAAAAATACCAAAAAAATATGGGACTGGTATTTTTTTTAAATTATTTATGAATATGTTTACCTATTTTTTTATACAAAATTTAGAAGACTATGAAAATTGAAATGTGACAATTTTTACAGCTCTCTTAGAGCGACTGTCCAATAAGTTGGCAGAATAAAAATAGTAATAATCCTGAGCTATGTATTTACAATTGTACATGGACCATAGTACATAAATACAGCCTACAGATCTCTCCCTCTCTCTCTACAGAGTCTCTACTTCTAAAGTTCTATTTATGTAGACACACCTGCAGAGTGCAGAGTGCAGACTGCAGACTGCAGTACATAGACAAAATGACTAAATAAGAAGGGAGATCTATTTTTATAATTTTATAGTAAATTTCCTAGTCATCAGTATTTTTAACTTATTATTTTGACCTAAAAAAAAAGGTTATTAGTTAGAGTTTGTTAGAGTACCTAAGTTCTGAGTAAATGCTTGACATTGCTCCCATCAACCTCCAGAGTAAAATGTAAATGTGGCAGATTGGCATCTATCAGAAATTCAGAATTCTGTACATACAATCTACAATTATACATTTTGTATAAACAAAGGTTCCATGGCCCAGGCCTGAGGCCTTCAGTCAGCGACAGAAATAGTGAAAACTAAAAATAGTGAAAAGATGCGCAGAGGTAGTATTATTTTTTATTCCTATACATGCCACAACAACAAAACAAAAAGTTATAAAAAAAAGAGATAAATAGACAATGTATATTCCACTAATGTCTCATGTACTGTACTGTATTTATGTATTTATAGTATTATATGTAACTCATAACTACACATTTATGATTTTTAACGCAATTGCAGTCGCATTATCGGCATTGAGCATTCATAGTTTTTTAAATTTTCATATTATTGGTGGGCATTCCGGACCGAAAGGTCCTGGACAGGTTTTATAAAATTTTGGTTCTATAGTATGTATTTTTAAAGAAATAAATTTCTAACCGCTCTCAGAGACAGACTATAATATATTTTTAAAAGCTCGTGGACGAAGGTAAAATATTAGAATATTACAGAAATCTATTTTATGTTCTGCCAGACTGAGTTTCTATGAGTCCACACTCCACACCACACTTCACGCAAGAGAGAGACAAGGGGACTATAGTGGTCACTGTATTTATAGAAATAAATATAACTACTTCGTAGCTTTGAGTTTCTAGTTTCTACAGCTGCCCACCTCAGCGAAGCTTCCTAAAACCCTACACAGTGGCACAATCATGAGCTTCTCGCAGAGACCATCTCAGAATCTACTCTAAGAACATCTTTACCCTACAACCCCGTATACTCGACGATCCGTCGCTGGCGATGCAGTGGCCAACTGAACCAGGACTGGACGTCCGAATTATCGCCATATCAGTGATTATTATCACAGCGATCCATTCAGGTCTGTTCAACCTTTGGCTTGGGCATATCATACAGTAGTTCCTCCAGCGGTGTCTTCAAAAGCTCTCGTACACACCACTTCAGGACATGCGGCGATGTTGTGGGCACGTGATACGGTCCCCCGCCCCTGTCTGCGGCCGGTTCAGTGGTATTCTTGAGCTTCTCCATGATCTTCTCTAGCGCAACGGACGCGGGACATGTGCTCTCCACACCCGTCTCACTCTTAGTATTGCCAAAGAGCGCGTCTAAACCACTAGCGCCAGGCTTACCTACACCAACCGTCTTCTCCCAGCCAGACACAACACCGTCTGTGGTGTTGTAAGCCAAAGCAACGTCGACGTTGCCCAGGGCATGCTTATCGATCACGCGTACAATCAACTTCAGGACGTTCGAGTCCTTGTCATAGACGATACTGCTTTCACCTGTTAGCGGGTGGATGACATCTGATAAGAACATAGATCATACGATAACAAATAGATGCCGAATGGCTGCACAATTGGACGCAAACCAGCTGAAACACTTAACTAGCCTGGTATAGAAGTATTAGTTTGTGCGATAATTGCTTTAATGTATTTAGTCTCAAGCCGCCACGCAATGGTGCATACAAAGAACATGATTGCTGAGGACACGAGCTTGTACATGCTAATCAAAGAATACGTAAACAGGCGACTCAGATACATCTGCCAGAGCACAGAATGGCAATGTGCACATATGGGACGGGCTTTTAGACACATACATTCTCAATTTCAATACCATCTTGACGATTTGGTGTGGATAAGCCTAACGCGACACCTTCAGTATTTTTAAATGAATTCGATGTATATAGTCTATCAGGCATATATATTTTCAATATGATCAAATTCGTATTGTATGAGTGAAGAGGACGGACTTGCCTGCACAATACGACTGTGCAAGATTTCAAATAGCTATCTGTCGAGAGATATACTCGTTTGGTTGTTGAATTGCCACGAGGTAGATATATTTATAAGCACACACAGATTATATATAGCTAATATTGCATTTGAATATATTTATATAAATTTATGTAAGTATGTATATATGATTGTGTATATAAGTACGTATCCAAG